TCTCTCTCTCTCTCTCTCTCTCTCTCTCTCTCTCTCTCTCTCTCTCTCTCTCTCTCTCTCTCTCTCTCTCTCTCTCTCTCTCTCTTCCTCGTCGTCGTCTTGTAGGTACACGGCGTCCTTCTGCAGCGGAGCGGATATGGCCGGCTTCTTCTTCCTCCACCGGGACTCTCTTCTTCGCGGCGGACCCCTCCCTTGACGCGCAGTTCACGAGCGCGCACGCACGGGGCAGCGGGACACAGATGCTGATGTGGCGCCCAGCTGTCGCCTCTCCTACCTCACGCTGATGACGACAACGGCAACGCGGGACAGCGGGAGCCTGCTCTAGACTCGTCTTCTTTCTTACTCAGCATGCATGAAAACAGATGCCAATCACACTGGCGCTAGGCGCCCACACAAAGCTCAGAGATATTGAGGCCAAGAACACAGTTCAGATTCAAGCTTGCTTCCGATGGCTATGGCGCCTGTGCGCCTACACACTTCTCAGCCGATACTGTATCCCCAGCAACTATTCACACGCACGCTACTCTGGATCTCCCTGGATGCCCCACACACACTCACACACTTCACGCTACAACCTATCTCTAACCTGCGGCAGCTATGGCCGCCTTCTCCTTCCTAGCTACTAGCGGCTATGGCCGCTTCGTCTCCCTCACAGCCCACTTCTCCTTCGGGCACCTGCAGATCTCCTTGCACAAGACGCTCAGGCAGCGCTTCCGCATGGCTCACAGGCAGAATGAATGAATGACTGGACGCTGCCTCTTGATTTATACTTCGGATGGTCGCTGGTCTGCTCCTTTCCATCGGGCCCAGGGTGCACACAGTCCCACATGGTACTTGTTGACTGGACAAAGTGCGACTGGGACTGGGTACTGCTGACTAGGCGAGGTTGGACTACCCACTTGCCCACTTGCCTCTAGACTGACCTTGAGGACACTTCGAAAGGCCACTTCCGAACCTTCCGGAAGTCTGTAGACTTGGCCTTTCATGACTGTAGCAGCTACGACCTTGACCTTTCAGGACTGTAGCAGCTACGACTTTTACACATCTAAATCCCCTACTTGACAGACCTACGGATCAAGACCCGACGACCACACTAGCCTACACCAGACAACAGGTGACTACCAAGATACAGGTCGCGGGTTCAAACCATACTTGCGGCGCATCCATGCGCTGCGCGATGCGGTGCGGTACGCAGCGCGCTGTGCGCCCGTCGGGGATGCGCGATGCGCGCGCATCGATGCGCAGTGCGCAATGTAGGATGCGCTGCGCGGCACTTGGATGCGCAGTGCGCCAGTGCGCTGGGGCGTGCGCGTGCCGCACCCATTTGCGCGCATGGTGCGCTCGGGCATGGAGGGAAGGGGAGGACAACGACGGACGGAGGAGGAGATGGGTGACGAGGGAGGGAATGGAGGAGCGAGGAGGAGATCAATAGCGACGGAGGAGGGGGAAGGGAGAAGGGCGGAGGGAGGATGGCACCGATGATGGAGGGAAGGGGAGGACAACGACGAAGGGAGGAGGAGATCGATGACGAGGGAGGAGGAGATCGATAGCGAGGGAGGAGGGGGAAGGGAGAAGTGTGGAGGGACGGGGACGTCGATGATGAAGGAGGGAGGGGGAGCAGTGGTGCACTATTAAAAATTTCATATATGAAAAAAAAAAAGAAAAAAAGGACGACATGATGAAGGAGGGAGGGGGACGACAGCAATGGAGGGAGGAGGAGATCGATGACAAGAGAGGGAATGGAGGAGAGAAGAGGAGATCGATAACGAGGGAGGAGGGGGAAGGGAGAAGGGCGGAGGGAGGACGATGTCGATGATGCATGAGGGAGAGGGAGGACAACGACGGAGGGAGGAGGAGATGAATGACGAGGGAGGGAATGGAGGATGGAGGAGGAGTTCAATAGCGAGGGAGGAGCGGGAAGGGAGAAGGGCGGAGGGAGGACGACACCGATGATGGAGGGAAGGGGAGGACAATGACGGAGGGAGGGGGAGATCGATGATGAGGGAGGGAATGGAGGATGGAGGAGGAGTTCAATTGCGAGGGAGGAGCGGGAAGGGAGAAGGGCGGAGGGAGTACGACGCCGGTGATGGAGGGAAGGGAGGACAACGACGGAGGGAGGAGGAGATTGATGATGAGGGAGGGAATGGAGGAGGGAGGAGTAGATCGATAGCGAGGGAGGAGGGGGAAGGAGAAGGGCGGAGGGAGGACGACACCGATGATGGAGGGAAGGGGAGGACAACGGCGGATGGAGGAGGAGACCGATGACAAGGGAGGAGGGAGGAAGAGAACTTGACGAAGGAGGGAGGAGGGGGGAGGTGGAGAAGAACGATGGCAAGGGAGAAACTGGGAGGAGGGGGAGCTGCACAGTTTCCACAGAGAGAGAGAGAGAGAGAGAGAGAGAGAGAGAGAGAGAGAGAGAGAGA